TCTCTTCCTTTCAAGTTCAGTGTTGTTTTATTTTTCTTGCTCTTCTGGTGTGCTTTTTCTTACCTAGCAATTAATTGTTGATTTACTACTACAGAGTGATTGCAGACCTAGGATTTGACATGCAGTGATACCAAAATGACACTATTGAAGACTCCATTAAGCTCTTTAGTTTTGAGAGAGGACCTTGCTAAATGGTTAAGGTTTTGTTCCAGGAGCCTTTTCACAGAGAACTCTGTTACTTTGAATTGTGATACTGACGGCCCAAGTGTAGAGACAGTAATGATTACTAATGAAATGGTGTCTTACTTTATAGCTGCAAAACAGTTTAGATAAAAAAGAGAAAAAGAAGAGGAAAGAGAAGAAGAAGAAGCACAAGAAACATCGTCATCGCAGTTCTACCAGTGAAAGTAACAGCAGTGATGAGGAGCAAAGCAAAAATAAGTATGTTTTGGAGTTTTAGAATAAAAATACCTTGTTTCCTGGTTATTTGTTTTTCATGTCTTTTTCAAATCCTCTCTTTGTCTCTTATCTTTCTAATTAACGCTGTTAATTGGCCTAAATGTGTCTGTATTGTTACTTCATTGTTTTGCATAATTAGATTATGACATTTTAATTTAAAAAAAAATTGTATTCTTGAATTTCATCTGCTTCAAAAGTACTGTTCTGTCTTTTCTTTAGGTCTCAGAAGAGGATGAACAGTTCTTCCTGGAAACCTGCTCCTTCCAAAGTCCCAGGATATGGCTTACAAGTATGTGTGTTTTGCACAGCTCTTTCAGTAGCAAGTGTCCTGAGTTAGGGAAGAGCAAGAGTTTGGCAGTTTGCAAAACTGCTTCACTAGGTAGTGAGGATTATGAAGGGGAGATGATATAATAAAGTTCAGATTCAATTTGGAGCTATCTAATCCTTGAAACTAAAGTTGTTCAGATCCTGGTAGGACTTCTTTCTGCTCTGAATTCAAGTTAAGCTTTATTTAGTTTCTCTTCACAAAGTTACGTATCTGTTCAAATACTCTGCTTGACTGTCTTGGCAGTTTAGTTTGCTGAACATCATACAGAAATAATCTTTTTAGACACAGATGTTAATAAGAACCTAGGAAGTGAGATAAGTAGGCGCAAACCACAATGTACACTCGTTCCTGCACTTAGCCTAGTCTGAGGTCTCCTCTGTGGCCTTACATTGTTGTTGTGTTCTTACGTCTCCCCTGAAAGACACTTTTGAATTCCAGGTTAGAGACGCTGAGCAGAGCCACAGGTCTCGGAGCTCTCCAGCTGCCGGCCAGGAGAGGGCCCCCCACAAGCACCGGGATCGCTCCAGGTCCAGGAGCCGGTCCCGCTCTCCTCCGAGACGCTCCAGCAGGAAGAATTCAGACCAATCTGGATGCAGAGGCTCAAGATCTCCTTCTAGACACAGTAAACAGTGAGTGTCGCTCACCTGAATGACATAAACCTGGGGCTGCTGGTGGTGGAGTTCTCTAGAATCAAAATCCCTCTTATTCAGTCTCCTTCTGCCACTTCAGTGTTCTGGCTGCATTATTGCTCAGTTCTGGGTGCAGAGGCAGAAGCACACAGGTTAGTTCGTGGTGGGGTCACGCTGCCTGCAGTTGCGCTCTTCATTTGGGACACCCTCTTTCTAGGTACACCCTTTAGGTGTGGCTTGTGGCTGTGCTTCATTTGGGCTATCGATTCTCTTTAAAATGTATACGTAATTTTTGAATTACCTTTGCTAAATGCTGATAAAATCAGGTACCAGGTATTCATTGTTTGCTGATGAAATAATTAAAACTGAATAAAAATGCATGGAAATTTACAGTATATTAAGAGTCATTAGAATTTGTTTTCAAAGTGGGACAGGTAGCAGTCCTGCAGTTATAGGAGATGTCTTGGTTTCAGAATGTATACAAAAAAATCCAGGGAAGGTTTAGAGGTGTGATAATATGTGTTCATCTGTACTAAAAAGAGGGTATTTCTGGGTTACAGACACAGTGGTCGGGAGGAGAAAGGAAGAGCTAGAAGTCCTTCCCCTAAAAAGAGCTATCGACGACAGCATGCTATGGGTTACACAAGGTAAGCAAGATCTTGTCCCTGTGCTTTTGGATGGAAGTTATACTGGTGATTCTGAAACAGCTGGGTGTAATCTGTGAACCAAATTTTATTCTACTATCTAAACCAGATTGGATCGAATGTCCAGAAAGTCAGATAGGAAGTCCTAAAGTGCTCAGTTTGGTGCTATTGAGCTTGATTGTTAGTTAACACCTTGGACAGCTTCCCAAACCAATTCACATGGTTGCTGGTTCTCCATGTGTCTCACATGACATGACTGTGCAAGGCAGTAATGTGAAGTCAGTCTTTGTCCCATGGACTGTTAATTAGAAGTATTCTGTTTCACTCTTATCAGGGACATATGACCTTGACAGCATCATCTTACCTGTCAATTAAAAACAAGGCAGCTGAAAAGAGGGAGAGAAAACAGCCTCTTGCTAGGGGCGTGGTAAAGCGGAACATTTAGACATGTACTTACAAGCTTTGCTGATTGGCTACTGAAGAAAGAAACATGTTAAACACCCCGAATTTGGGGGATTGTAAATTGTCTTAAAGAATGGAAAGCAAGAGGGAGGTGAGGCTCAGTGTGCTATTGATTCACAGCAGTGGTGTTTTCTACACAAATAGAAAGATCTCTGCAGAAGAACTAGAGCGTAAACGTCAGGAAATGATGGAAAATGCCAAGTGGCGGGAAGAGGAGAGAGCAAACAACCTCAGGAAACACCAAAAGGAGGAGGAGCTGGAGCGAGAACTGGAGAAACTCGACTCTCGAGATGGGAAGTTCTTCAAGTGAGTGTCTTTTGTTATCTGCTTTTTCATTCAAGGGAAATGCAGGCCGCAGCTGCTGGGGAGTGAGTGATGGCCTCAGCATTTGAGATATTTCAGATTATCATGTAAGATCCATCTCTACTGTGTTTTACAGTAGAACCAGTGATGTTTGCTGTTCCCAAATTCTCCTCTTAACCCAAAAGATAGGTATTTCTGTGATGGCCTTGGTAGTCAGACTTGGAAACTGGTAATCAGTTCTTTCTTTGCCAACCGGTAAAAGCGCCTAGTAATGTTTTACATGCAGATATTTTAAAAAGTTCTCTGATTTTAGGAGCTTGGAACAGTTTTAGGCCTGCAAGTCCGCTGGGAGTCTGTGTGACAAGAGCTTGTGGGACTGAAACCTGTGCTCAACAAGAAATAAGACCATTTCTAAACACAGGTGGTAACTTACAGTCCCTTATGCACATGGCAGGCAAAGGAAATTGGAGTGGTACAAGGCCTTCCAGAAAGTGCAGCGGTGTGTAAGAAAGATCCTGTGGTACTGTTATGTATTTTGGAGTTGCTGCAGCATAGTATTCTCCAGGCTCTGTGAATTAATTGGAGGAGAGTGTGTACTTAATTCCTGAAGCCGCCCAGAGGCAGGGTCACATAAGGGTGGCTTAAAATCACAACAGATTTTCTCCATGAACAAAATGTCTTGTGAAGAGAGATTTTTTTGTGTTTCTCTGTGCAGAAGCAGCTGGTTGAGCTAACAAACTTTGTGTTTATTGGCATGTTGTTTGAAGAGGGAGATGGGCACAAGGAGATCATTTAGAAAAGCACAGCAGGGTGATCTGAAGTAGTGAAAGAAAGCGAGTGGTCGGTCACAAGGATCCCTTCTCTCTCCTGTAGCTGCCGTAGTCATTTACAGCATGAGCTCTGGCATTCAGGCTCCCAGAGGACCACTGCCCTCAGTTCAGGAACACATTGCTTTTCCCTCGTTTGCTTCACAGAAAGCAACCAAGTCCCCTGTGACAGATGCGTTTGTAATTAACGGTTAGTTATATTTGGAAGATGGAGGAGACTTGAGAACTACTGAAAATATATTTCTGAGCACTGACCTTAAATAAGGCATTGAATCTGTTACAAGCTAAGTTCACTGCTTTCAGTGCAGACTTTAATAGCAAATAATGTGGAGTTTTCTATGTTAGATTAATTTCGGTAGATGATGTGGGGATGGTGAATCCTGCTAGAAATGGTGTAATGTTTGGAAAGAGATTTTGATTTCTTTCTTTGGTTCAATTTTCTGCAGTCGTTTAAAACTAGAGAGTGCATCTACTTCCACCCTAGAAGACCGGGTGAAACGCAATATCCACTCCCTTCAGAGGACTCCTGCTGCCTTGGAAAAAAATTTCATGCAGAGATGAAACTCGTTCTTCTTCTGCTCCTGTGCAGAAGTTAAATGGACACTTATTCCCAAAGGTGAGAGACCTCCAGCACAGGCTCGCTGCTCTCTAGAGGAACAGTTACTATCTCCCAAAGAGGCGCTGGATTTCTGTGCTGCAGCCCACGGCGTGTTCAGGACTTTGGGCACTGTGAATACATTTGTAATGAATATGACCTTGCAAGCAAACCTTTGCTGGAGAACTCGTGAGCATTTGTATTCTATTTTTAACATATCGCCAGATCTTTTCCTTCTCTCTCTCCACCTTAACTGGTATCATTTTTGTATATTGTTATTAGCAAATTATGCCAGGTGGTAACTGCTTTCTACATTGGTCAGATTGTCCAAGCTCTTCAGAGCAAAAGACCTATTTTTGTTAATACTCAAAAATCTGAGCAGAACAAATTCACATGTGAGTTAATTTCCTGGAATTTGATAAAGCTACATGAGTAATGGACAAGATCCTCTTCAATACTGTCACCGTTTCAGGTGTAGGTTTGGAGGGTGACATTAGATGAGTCTGCAAAATATCTGTAGCCGTTATTTGATTGCTCACAGATGTGAATGATGTTTGACCCAAAGGAAGCTGCTTCGGAGGGAAGGGAAACGAGCAGAGCATAGCTGATACAGCAAATATATCTCTGGGATTTTGTAATGTAAGTAATGTGTATATGTACAGCAGTGTAGATCTTTTCCTTGTTTTTAATACTAAGAAACTTTACGGTCATTTTTAAATGTTCTTTGTGGCTTTTGGGGGTGGGAGGGGCAGGGCTCGACCTCCCTGTCAAAGGGAAGGGTTTCTGGGGCCCCGGGAGGCTGTACCTGGCAGTAGCAGCCCCTTTTCG